CCAGCCAAATTTTTGTATTTTTTATAGAGATGGGGTTTTGCCATGTTGCCCAGGCAGGTCTTGAACTCCTGGGCTCAAGTAATCCTCCTACCTCAGCCTCCCAAAATCTGTTGACTCTTGACCTCCTTTTGAGTGAAGCCTCCTTTTTCACTATCAGGCACTCATTCCCACTCTTATTTTTGGGATAAACTATTAATGCCTCCCCTTCTTCAAAGATTGGCTCTTCATTGTCCCAATCAAGCTTTTTAATTTTTATTTTTTAATTTAATTTTAATTTTAATTTTTAATTTAAAACATCCTTTTCTCTCAGAGAGTTGGATTTTATAATTGAAACAATGACTTTAAAGACAGTAGTTAGCTATAGGTTTACAAATGTCTACTTAAAAGTTAAAAGTCCAGGAGCCAATGAGTTGTGTGTCTCATCCCTAGCCCAAGAGCAGGCTGCATAAACAGCTCTTCCTGGTGCTTGAACCGTGGAGGCTTGGAGCCAGAGGCTGCGGGGAGAGGACTAAAAAAGCCCAAGCTCTGTGTCAAAATACACACCCTGCAATAGCTCTCTCCTGGGCTTGGTGGGATTGTGGGTTATCACCCGCGTCCCTGTGAAGAGACCACCAAACAGGCTTTGTGTGAGCAATAAAGCTTTTCTTTTTTTGAGACAGTCTCGCTCTGTAGCCCAGGCTGGAGTGTAGTGGCACGATCTTGCCTCACTTCAAGCTCCGCCTCCCAGGTTCACGCCATTCTCCTGCCTCAGCCTCCCAAGTAGCTGGGACTACAGGCGCCTGCCACCATGCCTGGCTTATTTTTTGTATTTTTAGTAGAGACAGGGTTTCACCGTGTTAGCCAGGATGGTCTCGATCTCCTGACCTCATGATCCACCTGCTTTGGCCTACCAAAGTGCTGGGATTACAGGTGTGAGCCATCGCACCCAGCCTGCAATAAAGCTATTTAATCACCTGGGTGCAGGCGGGCTGAGTCCAAAAAGAGAGTCAGCAAAGGGTGGTGGGATTATCATTAGTTCTTACAGGTTTAGGATAGGTGGTGGAATTAGGAGCAGTTTTTTGTGGGCAGGGGGTGGATCTTACAAAGTACATTCTCAAGGGCGGAGAGAATATTACAAAGTACCTTCTTAAGTGTGGGGAGGGTGTATAGTACAAAGTACATTCGCAAGGGTGGGGGAATATCACAAAGTTCATTACTGCAAGGGTGGGGAGGATGTATTGTCACAAAGTCAACTGATCAGTTAGGGTGGAGCGGGAACAAATCACAATGGTGGAATGTCATCAGTTAATGCAGGAACTGGCTATTTTCACTTCTTTTGTGGATCTTCAGTTGCTTTAAGCCATCTGGATGTATAGTGCAGGGCACAGGGGATATGATGGCTTAGCTTGGGCTCAGAGGCCTGACAGTGGATAATTTCCACTCTCTTTTTGTCTATAGTTTCTGAATTTCTTACAAGAAACGTGTATAAGAAATATGACAGGCCGGGCGCGGTGGCTCACTCCTGTAATCCCAGCACTTTGGGAGGCCGAGGCGGGTGGATCACCTGAGGTTGGGAGTTCAAGACCAGCCTGACCAACATGGAGAAACCCCATCTCTACTAAAAATACAAAATTAGCCAGGCATGGTGGCGCATGCCTGTAATCCCAGCTACTTGGGAGGCTGAGGCAGGAGAATTGCTTGAACCCAGGAGGTGGAGGTTGTGGTGAGCTGAGATCGTGCCATTGCACTCCAGCCTGGGCAAAAAGAGCAAAACTCCGTCTCAAAAAAAAAAAAAAAAATATGACAAAAGTTATTTTATAAATAAAGGGACACTTTGAGGCATTTCAGTCTTTAAAAAAGCTAAGGCTTATTTGGTTTTTTGTTTATTTTTAGATTTTTGATATCCTCACGACCTCACCTCATCCCATTGAGTAGAGACTGGGAGGGGAGAGCAGCAGCCGGAGGGCAGGCTGGGAGCCCTTGTGAGCAAGAGGAGCTGTGGACACCTGCTTCTCTGCCAAGGGAGAGAGTGAGGTAGGCCCGGGCCTACTGACTTCAGGGTGAGGCTACAGCTACTGCAGCGCTTTTTATGTATTTATTTACTGAGATGGAATCTTGCTCTGTCACCTAGGCTGGAGTGCAATGGTGTGATCTCGGCTCACTGCAACCTCCGCCTCCTGGGCTCCAGTGATTCTCCTGCGCTCAAGCGATTCTCCTGCCTCAGCCTTCTGAGTAGCTGGGATTACAGGCACGCGCCACCACACCCGGCTAATTTTTTGTATTTCTAGTAGAAACGGGGTTTCACCATGTTGGTGAGGCTGGTCTTGAACTCCTGACCTCAAGTGATCCTCCTGCCTCGGCCTCCTAAGGTGCTGGGATTACAGGTGTGAGCCCACGTCCGGCCATACTGCAGCACTTTAAAGGACGGTGTCTTTTTCTCATACAAGAGGACTTTATTAGCATTGGTGCAAGCATTGCATTACACAGGAATGGGTCCCTAGCATGCACAACCCCAGCTGGGCTTTGAGCAGATAAATCACAGCAGAAATAGAATCGCCCTAGGACTTTCAATCAAAAGCTGGAAGTCCACCTTACAGAAAGACAAAAAGAAAACCCCTTTTTATATCTTAACAAAGCGACAGCTCTCAAGGAGCAGAGCATCTCGAGGAAGAAAGCTTGCCTGGTCGCCATCCCATCATGCCAGAGTGTGCAGTGTCCACCCTCGACCACGCTGGGGAGTTGCTGATTTTTTGAAAAAGCTTAACAATTTCTGATGTCTATCTTTTAGAGTTCTATATGTTCCCATTTTTTATTCTTCCGAATTTTGAATTACAAATAGCTGTAAAAGCCAGTCTTTGAGTGCATGGGGGTGGGTGTGAGGCAGGGCTCAGCTTCTACTCCCTGTCCTGTGGAGCAGTGGCTGGTTTCTCCTGAGCCCAGCCCTGGGAGGCTGTGGTAGGCGTGGAGGCTGCAGAGCTCCTCCAGATGCTGCCCTTGCTGTGCCTCATACCAGAGAGGATGGAAGTGGCTCTGGCGTCGGACTGTGGTTGAGCTGAGACAGACAAGGCTGACACAGGGCTGGGGGCCTGTGGTCCACCAGTGGAAGTGACTCCCGAGGAAGGGCGGCGAGGAGGGTGGTGTGGGATCTGAGGCTTCTTTTCAGTGTGGCAGCTGTCGAGGGCCAGGGAGCAGGGGGAAGAGCCTGGTCACCATGGTCCCAGAGCCCGTCTCACTTGGCTCTTCCTTTGCAGCTGAGGAGGATGAGGACCAGAGAGGGACTGTGCGTGTGTCCTGCCTGGGGACCCACAGCCAGGTGATAGCAGAGTTGGGTTTGAAGCCCGGGCCTCCCATGCCAACCCAATGGTCTTGCTGTTTCAGCAGGGAAGGCCGGGAGCCTGGGAGCTTGGAAAAGGGGACTGCCTGGCTCCTGGTGACTCCCCACCCCCAGGTCCCCAGCTGTCATCAGTGGGGCAAGGACACATTTAACTGGTTCCTGTGGGTCAGGTCTGAGTGGGGGAGGACCTCCCCTCCCCACTGCCTCCCACAGGGGCTTGTGATTCAGGGTTTCAGGAACAGGGCTGGCTCCCCCGCCTCAGATGGAAGAAGTGGACTTGGCTGTGAACTCCAGGAAGGCAGGGCTTAGCCATGGCCCTTACCCTAGGATATGGCCTGGCCACAAGCACTCACTACATTTTTTTTTCTTTTCTTTTTTTTTTTTTTGAGACGGAGTCTCACTCTGTTGCCCAGGCTGGAGTGCAGTGGCACGATCTCAGCTCACTGCAACCTCCGCCTCCCAGGTTCAAGCAGTTCTCCTCCTCAGCCTCCCAAGTAGCTGGGATTACAGGTGTGTGCCACCACATCTGGCTAATTTTTTACTTTTTTAGTAGATGTGGGGTTTTGTCATGTTGGTAAGGCTGGTCTTGAACTCCTGACCTCAAGTGATCCACTCGCCTCGGTCTCCCAAAGTTCTGGGATTACAGGTGTGAGCCACTTTGCCCGGCAAAGAAATACCTTTTTTTTCTTTTCCTGAAACAGAGTTGTGCTCTGTTGCCTAGGCTGGAGTGCAGTGGCACGATCTCGGCAACCTCCGCCTCCCAGGTTCAAGTGATTCTCCTGCCTAAACATCCTGAGTAGCTGGGATTACAAGCGCCCACTACCATGCTCAGCTAATTTTTAAAAATATTTTTAGTATAGATGGGGTTTCGCCATGTTGGCCAGGCTAGTCTCGAACTCCTGACCTGAGGTGATCCGCCTGCCTCGGCCTCCCAAAGTGCTGGGATTACAGGCGTGAGCCACCATGCCTGGCCTTACATTTTTTAAAATGAGGGAACGAATGAATAAATGACCACCATATTAGGGGCTGGCTCTGAACAGAACTGTAAAGTGGACCAAGCTTGTGCTCAGGGTCACCTTAAGCCCACGGTCACTGTGTCCTGCCCTCTCAGGGCCATTTCCCAGCCCCCAGGCACCTGTTCACAGAGGCTTCATCTGGCCCTGCCTTCACCCCTCCGTCCTAAAGTGCTCCTCTGACTTAGAACATGACAGTCAGGGAGAGAATGTGCCTCAGGAGGGTGGAGTCAGATGATCACGGCCTTCCTGGCATCTGAGGGGAGATAGCTTTGGTAGCAAAGTGTGATTTTCTCTGAGCCCAGGAAAGCTTGGCCTTGGTCGGAATACATTGAACCCTGAGGGCCATAGAGTCCCTGGGGCAAGCTCTGAGGGGGAGGCCTGGGACAGGGCGGGGCAGGGGGAGGGGAGTGGGGGAAGTAGGTGGGGAGCTGGGGGTTGGGGTTACCGGGGTTCTAGGGGAGGGGAGTACTCAGGGTCCCGGAAAGGGCGTTTTCCTGATGGTGCACCAGAAGCCCTCAGGAGCCTCCAGCTGCCTGGTGAGAGGGAGGATGGAGCAGCCGGCAGGAGTAGCCGCCTCTTCCTGCTTGGGGAGCAGAAGGGCCTCCCATGCCGTGATGGTCAGGACCTGCCCCCTTCTCTCCCCGCAACTGGGGGCCTGGACTCACCTGGACAGCTGAGTTCTCATCAGAGGTCGGGGCTGTGGATACACTGGAGAGGGCTGGACGTGGTGCCACACACCCCGAGAGCCTGTCACAGGGACAGCACCAGGGCTGAGGCCTGGGCCCCCTCAGCTCCCCACACCCAGCTCTTCCGGAAAAGAACAGCACTCACGCCACCTTCCGCCTAGCGGGTGCTCCCAGTGTGACTCTGGAGACCCCTCGGGTCACTCCCTGAGCCACAGGCCTTAGGGTTTAGAGCCTGAGGAGGTGAGATTTTAACTCCAGAACACCTACTTTGTACCCCTAACCCACCAGCACACACTGGCCAGGGAACACAGCCCCATCCCATAATGGACATCCAGCCGCACTCCTCAGGCCATCCCTCCCTTCCCATCCCCCTTTTCCATACTGTCATGATTTTCTACGTGGAAACAGTGAGGGGTGCCTCCCAGTCTCTGGCCTATGCACCTGGGACCACCTTGGACCCAGGGGAGTGGGGCCTCTGAGGATCACGGGCCCAAAGGGTGGGGGTTCTGGGAGCCGAGGGAAGTCCTAGGACCAACTGGGAGGGGTGGATGTACCTGGCAGGTGGTGTGGGCATCCCAGCCCCTGGACACCAGGGTCAGCAGCTGGGGCGTGTGCTGAGCCACAAATTGCTTGCACTGAGGAAGGAGACACATAGCTGTGGAGGGGACCCGGGCCCTTTGCAGGACTCTCCTGTCGTGTGGTCCTGGCCTCTCCACTTCTCTGGATCACTTTAGGGCTCCCTTCTGACTCCTCCATCAGCCCTCACAGAACAGCTCTGGCTGCAGTTAAAACCCTTAACAAACCGGAGCTGGCTGAAATGGAGGACTTCCATCAGAAAAGCGGGTGATGCTGGAGATGGAGGACTGAGGCAGAGGGGTGGAATCTCAGCCACCACCCTCCCCTCCCTCCACCTCCATTTCAGTTCTAGAAGGAACCTTAATGTTCATCTGGTCCTTGATACCAGATGTGATGGGCAGCGGGGAGGCTTGGGAGTTGCTGAGCAGGGAGCACAGTGTGGACAGCTGCCTCCTAGGAAGAGCATCAGCTAGCTTGCCTGAGGACAGGATCTTGCTTCAAGAAGGGAATTTCCTGTCTGGGTGCAGTGGCTCACGCCTGTAAACTCAGCACTTTGGGAGGCCAAGGCGGGCAGATCACTTGAGGTCAAGAGTTTGAGAGCAGCCTGACCAATAAGGTGAAACCTTGTCTCTACCAAAAATACAAAAATTAGCCGAGCGTGATAGCACGTGCCTGTGATCCCAGCTACTTGAGAGGCTGAGGCAGGAGAATCTCTTGAACCCAGAGGCAGAGGTTGCAGTGAGCCAAGATTGCGCCATTGCACTCCAGCCTGGGCAACAAGAACAAAACTCCGTCTCAAAAAAAAAAAAAAAAAAAAAAAAGCAGGGGATTTCCTGTCATTGACTGAGTATTGGCAGGGGCCCTAGGACCTTCAAGCCCAACCCTCTCTCCTTTTGCAGATGGGTTTGTCCTGAGTGAGTTAAGCCTTGAGGAGTGTGGGAGCAGTAATGGGATCAGGACCCTGGAGAGAAGGCCAGTCCCTTTCCTGGCTCGAGTTGGCCCTGGCATTACTCATTTCCTAGTAGATAACCAGGCCTCTGAAGGCTTGCCTGGTGCTCACTCAGCCCGTGAAGGGGCCTGCTGGTCTCTGGAGCCCACAGCCCTTTGTCCAGAGGCGACTCCTAACCCTTAACAGGCTCTGCCCTAACTTACAGTCCCACCATTGTCTGCCCCACATCCTGCCTGCCTGTCTGCGCTCTATTCTGGCCCATCCTATGTGTCTCTGGCTGCAAAGCCTTTCCTGGGCTCAGGCTTCCACCTTGAACAGGCCCTGACCACGAGTCCCCGTGTGCCTGCCCTGTACCTTTTCCCTGTCCAGCCAAGAGCTGACACAGGACTGGAGCAGTGCCTGTGGTATGGCCTGCTCGCTGCTGTTCCTGGCCTGGGTGGTCACAGACATGCAGAGGCGGCACTCAGAGTCTTGTGGCAGCCATTCTCCTGTGGGCGACCCCAGAGACACGAGCGTTAGGGGGAAAGCAGGCAAGGCCACCCTGCAGAGGCGTTCATTTCTGTCCTTGGTGCATTGCAGCGGGACCAGAGAGGGAGAGCATCATGCAGGGGCACGGTAGGGGGAGGAGGAGAGCAGGCTTTGGGCTAAGGAGGGGGCAGTGGGTTCACCTGGGCCAGTGCTGTCATCCATGGAGCACCGGAGGACGAGGCCGCAGACCAGCTGGGGCAGCATGCGGCCCAGCAGCATGTCGAGCAGGATGACAGAGTAGCGTTCAGCCAGGCACTGGCAGATGCCACCCGCCACCAGGGGTACCACGCGGCACACCTGGGCCACTGCCACAGCTAGCACACCCTGGGGTGGGGGCGGAGAGAAGCCAGCATGGGGTCTTCACTTGGCAAGCCTCCACTCTCTGCCCAGCACCCAGCTAGGCACTTCCTACACATTCCCTCATTCTCTTCTAGAAGGGAGGGCAAGGCTATTCACAAATAAGGACACTGTGGATCAGAGAGTCCAAGGGATGCAGGGGACTCACACAGGGTCGCTGAGTGTAGGAGCCAGCTTCAGACCTACATCTGGTCCCGAAGGCTGTGGCCCACAGCTAGTGACTCTCAGACTGATATGCTGGACCTGACTTTCCCCCAGGCTTGAGATTCAGCTGCTTGCCTGACTCTCCTCTCCTGCACTTCACACAGGCATCTTGAACTCAACATGGCCAGGAGGGAGCTCTTTTTTTCTACTCAAACCTGTTTCTTGTTGAGTCTCCCCATCTCAGCTGCTGGTATTACAGAAGGTCGGTTGCTCTGGCCAGTCTGTAAAAGTCACTGTGGAGTCCTCCCTGGTCCTCACACTCCAGCATCCATGCCCAAGTGCAGCGGGCCCGCCTCCCAAATGCGTCCCCAGACCAGCCCTCAGCTCCGTCCCTGTCCCATCACCTCTCACTGTGATCTCTGCAGTGATCTTTCTTTTTTTCTTTTTTCTTTTTTCTTTTTTTTTCAGACAGAGTCTTGCTCTGTCACCCAGGCTGGAGTGCAGTGGTGCAATCTCGGCTCACTGCAACTTCTGCCTCCTGGGTTCAAGTGATTCTCCTGCCTCAGCCTCCCACGTAGCTGGAACTACAGGCACCTGCCACCACATCTGGCTAATTTTTGTATTTTTAGTAGAGACGGGGTTTTGCCATGTTGCTCGAGCTGGTCTCCTGGGCTCACATGAACCACCTGCCTCAGCAGGAACCTCACCTGCTGCCTTGAGTCCGCAGTGGCCCATGCGACCCCATCTGGGAAAGGCTGAGAGGGGAGGGCCTTTCCTCATTTGGGCTCCATTTTGGGGCAAGGTAGCCCTGGGCTGGTGGGGCCATTGGACAACAGCTACTGCAGGTCTGGAAGACTCCAAACTGGACTCAGGCAGAGATGGGGAATCTATCTGTGGAAATTTCCCTCTTGAAAGATCAAAGCAACTTTTCTACAGGAACCTCTGGGGATCCTTCTCCATCAGTTGGTGAGCTGCTGGAGGACAAAGCTGCATCTTGTCCATTTTTGTACTTTGGCACCTGGTGTGGCACCTCCATACGGGGGGGCTTAATGTTTGTTGCATGAACTGTAGGCCTGGTACCTACCAGGCCTGAGCCTGAGCCCCAGGGTCCGTGGGTGGGGGCAATGCACAAACGGTTCTCTCCCCTCCTAACTTCTGGCAGCCAGCTGGGCCCTGATGCGGGTGTGAGTTGGGAGAGAGGTGGGATCTGCAGGGGACCCTCCTGGGCTCTGTGTGCCCTTGGATGCCTCACCTTGGGAATCATGGCTTGGATCCGCTTGATCAGAGCCTTGCAGAGCCAGCAGTAGGGGAGAGGAATGGGGAATTGCTGCTCAGAGAGATCCTGGGGAGAGAATCCGGTGGAGGCCAGGCTGGGTGCTGGGAGAAGAGTCCTCCAGGCTCTCCTCCCCTCCCTTTCTCTCCCTCCTCCCTTAGGCCCTGCCTGGAGCTTCCCGTCACCTTCCCGGCTCTGCCTCTTCCAGGGCCCAGTGCTCATGGGCTTCAGAGGTGGCTCTAGCCCTCCAGATCCCCACTTAACTGGCTGTGGGGGCCTCCCTCACCTGTGTGTGAGGCCCAGGCCTCACCTGGAGGGCCCCGGGCAGCACGGGGAGGACCAGCTTGTCCGGCAGAGGGTCTGGCAGAGGGTCCCACAGAGGTTCGGGCAGGGGGTCTGACATCCCTGACTCCTGCTCTGGCTCTGGCTGCCGGGATTTGCACAGGCCCAGGTGTATACAGATGCCCTTTGAGTCCTGGGGCACAGCACAGGGTGGGAGTGTTAGGCTATGGGAGGGAAGCCCACCCCTGTTCATGCTGGCCCAAGGGCTCAGGGACCAGGATCCCTGGAATGGGAGGAAACAGGCCTAGTGGGGGTGCTGTGGTTTAGAACTCTATGTGGGGGGACAAAAGGCAAAGATGGGGCTGTGTGGGGACTTCAAGGGAGGTGGCCGGGATTGCATGTATTCGAATGAGCATGAGCATATATGTGAGCATGAGTGTGTAAGCATGTGTGTGAGAGTGTAAGGGTGTGTGAGCGTGCAAGCCCACCATATGAACCTGAACCTGGGGGGCTGTGGTTGGGTGCATGGCTGAAGGGCACTTAGTTTCCTGGGCCCTTTGTGGGCAGAGTGTGTTTGTGTGTGTGTGTGTGTGTGTGTGTGTGACCAGTTGGGGTGCTGTGTGTGTGTATGTGTCTGACTGGCTGGGGTGCTGTGTGTGTGTATGTGTCTGGATGGGGTGCTGTGTGTGTGTGTCCACCTGGCTGGGGTGCTATGTGTGTAACTCCCCATGGGTGGGCACAGGGGCCTGCGTGGGGAGGCAGGCAGGAGGTGAGCTTGCAGCCCTCACAATCTGGTTCTGGAAGTAGTCGATGACCAGGGGGAAGTAGTCGTCGAGTACTTGGTTGCACTGGGGCATGAACAGCTTCAAGGGGAGGACGTTGCACTCCTGCTCCAGAAACTTCCGCATCGTGTCCTGGGAGGCCAGAGCGGGCTGTCAGCTGGGCCTCTCTGAGGTCTATCCCACCCAAGTCCCTGGACACAAGGCCCCACCAGGGCAGACCTACCCCTATTCCCCCAGGGCACTGGAGTTTAAGAGTTTCATGGAGTTAAGTAGTTGAGCACAGGTAGGGGCCCTTCCCCTCAGGAAGGACCATCTCTGGCTGTGCTGTTGAGCTCAGGGCCAGGACCTACTCCCAGCCAGGAGGAGCTGGGAGTTCTCAGGCACCCAGGCCTCCTCCTCAGCCTGGAAATGGCCCCTTTAGGGGGCTCACCTCTTCCCTGCTCTGTCCCTCATCTCTTGGGCCCCAACCTTCATCCAGGATCTGGGCCTCATTACCTGGAAAATGGCCTCCTTGGCCATCTTGTTAAGGATGTGGACGATGTCCTCACACTCTTGGCATAGGTCATCCTGGGGAGGGAGGGGGCCCCCAGGTGGAGGACACATAAGTGGGGGGCAGGCTCCCAGCTCCAATGGGGAGGCTCTCTCAGGCAGAGGCCAACAGAGCACTCCAAGGCACCAGCGGCTGCCCACCAGCCCATCTTGTCCCAACTCATCCATTCCATTTTATTCATCCCATCCCATCCATCTCTTCTATTCATCCATCCCAATCCATCCATTGTTATTCTGTCATCCCATCCCATCCCATCCCATCCCATCCCATCCCATCCCATCCCATCCCATTCATCCGACTCCATCTATTCTATGTCATCATATCCCATCACATCCATCCCATTCCATTTCATCCTATCTCATTTCATCTCATCCCATTCCATCTCAACCATCCCTTATGGGGGCTCCACTCCCCTCCTGCCCATTCAGAGCCCACCCAGCACCCTTCATCTCAGACCCTCAGTTGCTGTGCATCCTTGGTGGTACTCACAGCTCCCACATGTCCCCAGACTTCTTGTAAGCAGTGCCCTAGGGCTCTGCACTGCAATGCTTGCTCCAGGCTTTGGCACCAGAACTCAGGGCCCTGGGCACAGGCCAAGGATGAGGTGGTCCAGGCAGCTGCGGTTCGGGGCCAGACCTTAGTCAGGATCCAGGCTACATACCTGGCATCCTGATTTCACCCAATCTCTAGACCCAATTTTGCTGGGAGTGTGAGGCCATTAAACATGTGGGTGTCAGACAGCTTTGGGTTCCACCGGCTCCCGGACCCACCAGCTGTGTGACCTTGGATAAGCTCTGAACCCTCTCTGAGCCCCAGCTGCCTTGTCTTTAAAATGAGGACAGACTTGGGATAATGCCTAGCACAGAGCAGTGCTCAGTGAGTGGTGGAGCTGCCTAGGACAGGGCAGGCTGGGGCAGACTCACCAGTGCCTGGGCCACAGAGTGTGGGCAGCAGCAGCAGCAGCCACTGCAGCAGGTGTGACTTGGCCATGGTACCTCTGCAGCCTGGATACCCTGCTTGGGGCATGGCCCCTTATAGCTGGGCGGGGCATAGGGGCTCTGTGGGAGTGGCAGCGACCTCAGTGTTTGTCTTAGCTCTGGAGAGCCCTTCAGGTGCTTGATCCCACCTTTTCCCAGCAGGGACGCTCCTGCCTGCCTTACCACCTGTCCTGGCTGATGGCCTGTTCCTGCTTCCTTTGCCCCCTGCCCGGACTCCCATGTTGCTGGACTTGTGCCTTCCTCCAACCAGGGGCTTTCAAGCCTCCATTCCTGGTCTCACCTCTCCAGGCTGTGGGAGGGAAGCTGAGGAGGGTGGGGGGCATCTGGTTGGGGGTAGCCTTGGTGTTCCCCTCCCATCCCCTCCCGGGGCCTCTGGGGCCCCCTCTACTCTTGAGCAATGCTCTTGAGAGCTTCCTGCCTGGCTCTTAACCCAGGCTCTTAACCCCTGGAAGGGCAGACCTAGGACACTCTCACCTCCTCCTTACCTTTGCCTCTGGAAAAATCTTCTGGTTCTATGGACATAAGATTTGCGTTAGTCAGAAGAACATTTACATAAAACAGAAAACAAAATACCCTGAGTCAGAGACAAGATTTCTGTGCCCCTGGAGTGGCTCCCAGACAGCCCTATACAGGAAGTACTGCCCATGGACCCTGGGGACTCCTTCAGGGTAGGGGCTGGGGCATAGCTGCGATGGTTCAGCAGAAAGAAACTGTCCTCTGCAGCTGCAGGGGCTCTCAGGCAGGGCCCCCACTGGCAGAGCATACTGGAGAAAAAGCTCACAGGCTGAGGGAGAAAGAGGATATCTTGAGTGGAAGAAAGAGAAAGTTAGCACATTGCTATCACCCCAGCTGTTGTGATCAGTTTATCTGATCTCTGCAGGAACCCTCTCCCTAGTGGAGGCTCACAGGCCCCTATACTCAGAAGCACTACAGTGCTCTTGGGGGTGGACAGGGCAGGAATTTGTACCATGATGAAAAGAGTTGGGGCTGGGCATGGTGGCTCACTTCTGTAATTCTGGCACTTTGGGAGGCTGAGGAGGGAGGATCCTTTGAGCCCAGGAATTTGAGACCAGCCTGGCCAATATAGTGAGACTCCATCATTACAAAAACAATTTAAAAATTAGCCGGGTGTGGTGATGCATGTCTCTGGTCCCAGCTACTCAGAAAGCTGAGGCAGGAGGATCGCTTGAGCCCACTAGGTCACGGCTGCAGTGAGCCATGATTACACCACTGCACTCCAGTCTGGGAGTGCGAGGCCATTAAACATGTGACTGAGCTGAGGGTGTCCTGGCTCCTGGTCCCCGGGATGCGCGGTCCCCCGGCACAATGTTGGCCAAGTAACAGAGACTCTGTCTCAAAAAAAAACAAACAAACAAACAAACAAAAAAAGGAATTGGATACAAGGTGGCTATTGACACACTCAAGGTTACCCAAGGATTATGTAGTTTCTGTTGGCCTCAAGCGCTTGTCAGTACAACAAACACAGCTGCCATCATGGGAGTCCACCAAGACTGTGTAAAAATGTGTAACCAAAGATTGGAAACTGAGTGACCTTGGTAGAACCTCAGGAAGGTGGAACTGAAACGTGCGTGTTATTCAGTATGTGTTTAAAAAATGAGTGAGTGGTATCTGGTTTGGATACAATCAGGACAGGCTGTGCAAGAGAGTGGGGATTTGTGGCTGGCTGCCTCCAGGGGTGTATTTGTCAGGGTGGTCCCACTACCATAACAGAGAGCCCTCCAGTCTATTGGCTCCTGCATGTTTCTTTTTCTTTTTTTCTTTCTTTCTTTTTTTTTTTTTTTTGACACGGGGTCTCACTCTGGCACCCAGGCTGGAGTGCAGTGGCGCGATCTTGGCTCACTGCAACCTCCGCCTCCCAGGCTCAGGTGATCCTCCCACCTCAGTCTCCAGAGTAGCTAGGACCACAGGCGCATGCCACCACGTCCGGCTAATTTTTTCTCTGATATTTTTGGTAGAGACAGGGTTTTGCCATATTGTCCAGGCTCGTCTTGAACTCCTGAGCTCAGGCGATCCACCTGCCTCAGCCTCCCAAAGTGCTAGGATTACAGGCATAAGCCACTGTGCCCGGGCCACATGTTTCCTTCTTTTTGTTTTTGTTTCTTTTGTTTTTTTTTTTGAGATAGAGTCTCACTCTGTCGCCCAGGCTGGAGTGCAGTGGTACGATCTTGGCTTCCTGCAACCTCTGCCTCCCGGGTTCAAGCGATTCTCCTGCCTCAGCCTCCCGAGTAGCTGAGGAGTACAGACACCCATGATGATGCCCAGCGAATTTTTGTATATTTTTAGTAGAGATGGGGTTTCACCATGTTGACCAGGTCGGTCAAAACCATACCTCACACCCTTTAGGACGGCTATTATGAAAAAACAGAAAATAATATGTGTTGAGAGAATGTGGAGAAATTGGAACCCTAGGTGCTTTGCTGCTGAGAATGTGAAATGGTGCAGTCACCGTGGAAACCCATGTGGAAACCCTTGTGGAAACCCATGTGGAAACCCATGTGGAAAAGACTTTCTACAAAACAGTTTCTGAAAAGTTTGAATATTGAATTACCTTCAGACCCAGCAATTCCATTCCTACATATGTATTTTGAAGAGAATGGAAAACAGGTACTGGAACAGATATTTGTATGTCAATTTTCATCACAGCATTATTCATAATAGCCAAAAGGTAGAAACAACTCAAGTGTTCATCCACGGACGAATGGGTAAACACACTCAAAGGAATATTATTGAGCCTTTTTAGGAAGGAAATGCATCTGGGCGCAGTGACTCACACCTGTAATACCAGGACTTTGGGAGGCCAAGGTGGGCAGATCACGAGGTCAGGAGTTCGAGACCAGCCTTACCAACATGGTGAAATCCCATCCCTACTAAAAATACAAAAATTAGCCAGGTGTGGTGGTGCATGCCTGTAATCCCAGCTACTCGGGAGGCTGAGGCTGGAGAATCGCTTGAACCTGGGAGGCGGAGGTTGCAGGGAACCGAGATTGCGCCACCGCACTCCAGCCTGGGCAAGAAAGCAATACTCTCTCTTGGGGGGTGGGGAGAGGAAAAAAAGGAAAGAAATTTGGACACATGCTACAACATGGATGAATCTTGAAAACATGATGCTCAGTGAAATAATCCAGTCACAAAAGGACAAGTATTGTGTGATTCCCTTTATAGGAAGTATGCAGAGTAGTCAAACTCGTAGGGACAGAAAGTAGGTCAGAGGTTACCAGGGGCTGGGGAAGAGGGAACAGGGAGGTATTGGCTAATGGAAGCAGGGTTTCTACTTGGGATGATGAAAAGTTCTGGAGATGAACAGTGGTTTTGGTTGCATAATGTGGGGGTGTGCTTGATGTTCCTGAGCTGTACACTTAAAAATGGTTAAGACAGTATTATGTTATCTATAGTTGTATATTTCATCACAATTGAAAAAGAAAGGGGAGGAGAGAGAAATAAGCCAGGCTGTGGGTGGAGAAGAGTCTTGTTTTTCTTCTTGACTATGGAAAATGTGAGGCTGTCAAGTGTGGGACTTGAGACACCTGGGGCCGGGACAAAAGAGATCAGCCAAATGGGATATTAAAATCTCTGTTATGTCTTTGCAGAGATGCACGGAAGAGCAGATTCATTTTAGTTCCTTTTGTTGTATTTTGGGCTGCATTCTTCTGACACTACTCGGGGCCTGAGCCTAAGGGCCCGTGACTTTCCTCCCCTCTCCTATCCCCACTCTTCACAGTTGAATTTATTTGAGTGTAACTTCTATTTCTGGGGTAGAACCAACCCATGAGAAATACAAGGCCAGTGCCCTCGGGAGGCCTCATGGTAGCAGCCTTTCCTAGCATAGCCCTATCTTATGTCTTACTTTCTTTCAAAAGAAGGAATTTCTCCATGGGAAGGGGTAGGGAGGTAGGGCCCTTGGCAATGAAGCTTACAGTTTCACAATTCATTCGTTTGACCAAAAAATGGTAAATGAGCTAGGAGTTGGGATGACAACGGTCACTGCCCTGGTGGACTTAATATCTATGGGGTGGGGGCACAGACCAGTAATCAGAGTGGAATACTACCCAGGCCTAGAGAAGGAGGGGAGACTCTGGGGGAGATGGGGCAGCTAAGGGGAGACTTGGGGAGACGTAGAAATTGGTGCAGTCAAATGGTGGGGTGGGATTGATTGAGGAGGAATTCCAGGCAGATAAATAGTTCATGCAAAGGCCTAGGAAAAGAGAGAGCATGGGGCTGGTGCAGGGAGCGTTCACCACTCTGCACCACAAATAGAGGTTCAGAGTGTTGGGGAGCTTGGTAGAGAGTGACAGCCAAACCCACATCTCCTGCTCCCTGGTCTGTATCTGAGCAGCCCGAATAGCTTTGGCCCTGAATGTCTCTGGGGACTGGGATCATCTCTTTTCCTCCCTCTGTCTCCCCAAGCTCAGCTGGATTCTATTAAGAACAGCCGGTGGGAGGAACTGGCAATGTTGACATTGACCTTCCTTGAATTCCCTTTCCTTTATGCTGCTGTTGTGGGCTGAATTGTGTCCTCTAAAAGATATGTTGATGTCCTAACCCTTGGCGTCTGTGACTGTGACCTTATTTGAAATAGAGCCTTTGCAGGTGTAATCTATTTAAGATGTGGTCATTAGGGTGGGCCCTAATCCAATGACTGGTGTCCTTAAAAGAAATGGAGATTGGGGCACAGAGGGAGTGCCATGTGACCATGGAGGCAGAGATTGGAGTGACGCAGCTGCAAGCCCAGGAACACTAGGGATTGCAGCAACCGCCAGAAGCCAAGGAGAGGCAGGGAAAGGTTCTTCCCTACAGCCTTCGGAGCGTGCATGGCCTGGATTTCAGACTTTTGGCCTCCAAAGTCATTAGAGAACACGTTTCTGTTGCTTGAAGCCACCCAGCTTGTGGTGCTTTGTTCCAGCAGCCCTAGGAAATGCATGCAGCTGCCCACCATATTTGCAGCCCATCCGTGTTGCCCCTTCCCCACACCAAGATGTGAGGCTCTGTTTTCCAAATCCAAATTGAACACTGGACATGTTGGGTTTGGGGCAGGCACAGTTCGAGTCACTCTTGCTGTGCATGAGTTCTATGACCAAAAAGTTTGATTGCAGTAGAGGCCTTGGGGAAGATCTGAGTGTTGAATCTCAGTGCAGAATATTCCCTGAGTAAGTGTCCCAGATGGGTGACATTTGGCTCCTGCATCAGGGCTGTCCTCTTTCACCATCTGTCAGATGTCCGTTCCCCCAGGGCCCTGATGAAAGCTCACTGTTCATCTTCCCTGCCAGGAATGTCCTTTCCCTCTGTCCCTAACTGGACACTCCCTGCAGGAAGGAAATGTGCTTGTCTGCTCATGGCTGA